TTGAGTCCAGGTGACAGTCGAAGACTTTATATTCAGACTGTTGGTCCATGGACTATACCCAGCTGAGAACGCTAGAGGGGATACATCCTTCTCACCTTTTTCACTCGTGACCCGATTTCATGCCTGCATGTCACACTTAAATGTTTCAGATCATCAAACTAATGTAAATATTAGACACAGATAACGCAAGTAAACACAAATGCAGTTTTTATCATTAAGGGGAGAAAAGAATCCAACCTAAATGGCCCTGTGTGAAAAAGTGATGAAAACATAAATGAAGTGAGGTTCATCACATCTTTGGAAAGCCCAGTTCCATTTCTCCAGCCACAGCCGTTCTCAATCTAGAAATCACTTAAATAGGAGCTGCCTGACAAAGTGAAGTAGACCACAAGATCCTCACAAGCGAGACATCAGGCTGCGATCCAAAGACATTCAGGAACAAATGAGGAACAAAGTCATTGAGATCCATCAGTGTGGAAAAGGTGACAAAGCCATTTGTAAAGTTTTGGGACTCCAGCGAACCACAGGGAGAGACATTGTCCACAAATGGGGACAACATGGAAACATGCACATTGTGTGAATACTGAATGGTCTGTATCTGCTTTATCTTTATGAAACAGTTTAATGTGAATGTTCCTTTGCACACGTCCCATGAAGCTTGATCTGTAGCATGACGTCATTTCTCCCGTTTGAATTCACATCTGGTGAAAGTACAGTGACAGGTCCATTTCTTATTTGTTATCCATTCATCTTCTTCATGAATATATTCCAGCACCTCGTCGCTGTGTGACGCCTGACTGACAGTCTGTGGTCGTCTGTAAGTAGTGGTAGAAGAAGAAGAGGTGCTCCATGTGGACATGAAGGACAAAGCTGTGTGTGAGAGTGATGTAATGTCCATGTCTCCATGCTGCTCTGACCCCCCTCCTCCTTTCAGGGTGGAGCCTGATGGAGTCCGATGGTTGAGACCAGGTCTGAGGAAGTGTAAGTGTGCTTTGATTCATGAAGATTCAACCATCTTCACACTGTGACATCACTCATTCAGCTCTGTGACGTCATCATCAACGTGTCAGTAGATGAACACATGATTAATAACTGCAGCTGTATTGTGTCTTGTTCTCTCATCAGATTCCTGTGAACTCACAATCGACACAAACACAGTAAACAAACAACTCAAACTGTCTGACAACAACAGGAAGGTGACAGATGTGATGGAGGATCAGTCACATCCTGATCATCCAGACAGATTTGACTACTATCATCAGCTGCTGTGTAGAACTGGTCTGACTGGTCGCTGTTACTGGGAGGTCGAGTGGAGAGGAGGAGTTTATGTATCAGTGAGTTACAGAGGAATCAGGAGGAAAGGAAACAGTAGAGACTGTTTGTTTGGATTCAATGATCAGTCCTGGAGTCTGAGCTGCTCTGATAGAGGTTACTCTGTCCGTCACAATAAGACAGGAACACACATCTCCTCCTCCTCCTCCTCCTCCTCCTCCTCCTCCTCCTCCTCCTCCTCCTCCTCCTCCTCCTCTTCCTCCTCTGGTAGAGTAGCAGTGTATGTGGACTGTCCTGCTGGCTCTCTGTCCTTCTACAGAGTCTCCTCTGACACACTGATCCACCTCCACACCTTCAGCACCACATTCACTGAACCTCTTTATCCTGGGTTCAGGTTCTGGTTCAGGTCTGGTTCTGGTTCCTCAGTGTCTCTGTGTCCTCTGTAGGAGGGAGAGTCTCCTCCTGGTGGAGAACCTTCCTCTCTGCTCACCACATAGTTCAGTCTGTACAGCTGATGGTGGTTCATGTGGGTGTAGATGCAGGTGGAGCAGGTGAGGGGTACCTGAGCTGGTCTGGACTCTGGGGGGTCCACAGCTCTCTGGGACTCAGATGGAAGTGTGAAAGAGCTCAGCTTAATGCTGCTGTGCTCCTTCAATCAATAGATGATCATTTAGATATTGGCTCCTAATTAGGCTTTAATCTTCATCTTTATGTGTTCAAGAAGACATTTTATAAGACGCTCTTTCATCTGTCCCCCCATATGAGACAAATGTGTCCTTATGTGTGTGTGCGCTTCATCAGCAATAATAAAACAAGGTGAAGAAGGAAAATATGAATGTGTAATTCTTTTTGAGTCCATTTTAACTTCAAATCTTTCTAAATCTGTTGAGTGAAATCAAATCTAATTTCACATAATCAGGTTTGTTTTGAACAAGAAGCTTTTTAATGGTTCAGCAAACCTCTCAAGGAAATATTGAATATGCGTTACTTGTGTTTTTATTCCCTATAATGTCATTTACAACATTTACTCCATGTGTTACTTTAACAGAAATAGAATTGTTTGGCTCTAATGTTAATAAATGACTTTTATTGGAAACAACTGTACATGTTTAAACAGGCCATCAAATAAAGATGCTTTCAACACGCTGTATTATTTCTTTTGACATGAAATACTCTGATCCTTTTTAAAGATGCTGTACTATTGACTTTTGTACTATTTCCTCCATAATATCTGTATTTATTCTACAGCCCTGTTGCTGTGTCAATAGCACAGAGGAAACATTGGTGGTGCAGCATGTTGAAGAAGGAAGTGAGTAAATAAAGAAATGAGTAATGAATAAGTTGCTTTATTAACCTTATTAACCTTCACGCAGAGCCGTCTCACAACAACACAAACTACTGAGCTCGCTACTTCAGGTGCAACTTGAAGCTTTCATTCTGCACCAAATATCACACTTAAGTCACCAACAAAAACACACAAAGCACAAGCACACATTTGATAACAGGCTGGAGTTTATCTCCTCACAAAGTGGAGTATTGAAAGTGTGTGTTGGACAGAAATATATATATAAATAAAAGTTATCAAATCTGCTGGGTGTAAAATATACATACAGCAACATGAATTAGCAGTTTTGGTGCCTTAGAACGTTGTGTCAATGCAATGAGCTTCATGGCCTCTTAACCTCTTGTGAGTGCTTATGAGTGACTACAGCTGGTGACTCTGAGGCCATTTAAATAGAGCTCATTGGATACAAACGCCCACAAACGCTACAATGGGAAAGTCAAAGGAGCTCAGCATGGATCTGACAAAGCGAATCATCGACTTGAACAAGTCAATGATTTTTATTTTAAATCCAAATATAAATTAATATTTATTGTCGCACCCAAAGAAGTTTACCGTGATGATAAAGACACTCAACTATTCACTGGAAATAAAAGAAAGAAAATAGAAAATAGAAATAGAAGAAAATAAATCATTTGCAACGTAGGCTATTTGCCATTTTATTTTCTTAATATATAGGCTAGTTAATATGAACGAAATAAAATGCAAAACATACACATTTAATAAAAAATAAAATGCATTGTATGCCTACTCACCAAAGACTGAGTATTTGAACACAAAATCCATCCTCCTTTCTTTCCTCAAGAAGACTTCAATGACTCTATCAGTGCGTTTAGTTCCACCAATAAGTCCTTTTCTCTCGACATGGAGGCTGATGCTGAAAGCCCAGTCTGTCCAGTAGCATTTCTGGAATACGGTTTGATTTGCTTTGAGGCGGAGAATGAGCGCTCGACAGAAGCCGTGGACACAGATAGTCACTGTCACACATGCCAGTGTGTGAAGTCGCCCCGTGTCCTCATTCAGATGTTTCTGCTTAAGGAAATCAAGGAGATCAGACGGACTTTTCCCTTCAAAATGAGTAACAGCGTACATTACAGTCAGTTCTGTTTTTAGCTTGGACAGGTCGAACAGTGTTCCGTGTCTCCCTGTTAAGCTGGAGGAGGCCGTTTGCGGGATTTCTTCCGGTAGGTCTGGAAGTGCTGGGGGTCCAGGAGGGAGAGGAACATTCATTTTTCGTGGTCTTGAAACCGGTTTCGTATAAGAATGTTGTCCAGAATATTGCTGTGGAGTTGTTGGCGGTACGTGCGGTCTCCTTGTGCTGGGTGAACTGGAGACGCTGTGTCATCGTAGATCGGACTGAACCTGCGCCTCTCTCGCTCAATCGTGTCACAAAACTCCTTCACCTTGTCGGGCAGAATTGTACATCCACAGTTTGTTTCTGTAGGATTCCAAAAAGCACATCCGAATAATGAAAAATCCCATTGAATGTTTCAAGCAAGAAACAAAACTCAAACTCATCCAGACGTTAAATCCATCAGCCATAAGCACAGTATTTACATTACAGGTCATTTAGCAGACGCTTTTACTCAAAGCGACTTACGTTACACTTTCTTCTTTACATTTGGCCCGGGGAGCAATGAGGGGTCAGGGTGTCTTGCTCAGGGACACTTTGCCTTGAGACACGGGGCAGCCGGGACTCAAACCTCCAACCTTGCGCTTCGCAGCACTCCCGCTGTACCCCCTGCACCACGAGGACCCGTCCCTGTCGTGGTCGTCATGGTGTTCCAGTAAGTGGGCAAAGGGCTCCTTTAGGGCAGCTCTCTTTTCAAAGACGGCATTGACCAGTCTAGATGTACATTGCCACCTCGTTGGTGCAGCCTTAGGAAGACGGCGCTTGCAGATGTCATCCAGCAGCTGTGTGCGCTTAGGGGATCGTGAGAGAAAGGCTGCAAGGCCGTTGAGGTTGGCCAAGAAGACCTTCTTTAAGCTCTGAGGCTCCTTGAGTCAGTACTAAATGGAATCGATGTGCATAGCAGTGAATGAATAAGGCCATCGGTGCCCTCTCCTTAACTTCAGCCTGCACCCCATTGAGGCCAGATGCCACGACTGCTGCGCCATCAAAACACTGCCACAACTTTATCCACACTACATTCATTTCCCTCCAAGAAACGGAAAATAAGAGCGGCAATGTCATCAGCCCGCTGGCCGCTTGTCACATCTTGAAATGGGATGAATCGCTCCTTGACTCCTGTGTCCGTCACATAACGCAGGACGAGTGGGAGCTTTGCTGCATTTCTCACATCTGTTGTCTGGTCCTCCATAACAGCAACAAAGGGAGCTTTTTAATCCCCATTCTGATCTCTTCTCCCATCACTTCAGCAATAGCATGAATTAGGTCATTTTGTACGCCGGACATGCCGGACATGCATGTATTAAATAAGGACATGATAAAGTAAGCAGTGCTACAATGTCTTCTCACAGCTAATACGCTTAGCTGCTTCTCAGATGTGTGTTTGATAATGTGGCCCCCCGGACTGGAAGGAGCCCTGTAGACAGTGACAGATGATACCAGGTGGTAAGTATGGGCACCTTTGGTTGCCTGGTTCTTCCACGTCTCCCTGTTGTGGTGAATCTCCTTGTTCCATGTGACCTTGAAGCCCTTGAAGTCCACCGTGGTCAGAGAGCAGCGGCCCTCTGAGCCTGTACTCTTCACACTGGACCTCTTTCCATCACTGCCACTGACACTGTGGTCACTGTGGACAGTGTAGACATGTGCACACAAACACACATCCTGTCAGACGTGTTGAGGTAGAAAGCTGGTGCCTCTTATTGGACAAAGCAACGCCGTCAACGTTACCCTTCAAAGTAAAAGCATCAACGTGTTGTAAATATTGTTTCCTAGCGTGTTTAGATGATAATGCAGCTGTGCTGTTCATGCTTAAGGTTATAGTGTATTAAAGTACTAGTTTCCTTAAATAAACCGTGTGTAGCGTATCGGGGATCTGTTGATGGAAATTGAATAAATTCTTACTATATGCTGGTTTTTAATAGTGTTAAAACTATTTAGGGAGGGAAGTCATGTTCCTACGGTGGCCCAGAATGGACACATGGAAACAATTGAAATTGGGCCTTTTGAAGGTCTGTTTTAGTTTCTATCTGTGACTTCCTGTCTTGGTAGTAGCGATCTGATGAGATGAGGACGTCAGCCGATGGTCCGTGAGGGGAAGACGGGAGCAGGTTGGGGACGGCTGATCTACACCACAGGATCATCTAAAATAAGTGTTTGTAATCTTCTGTTTGTCACCTCCAGCGTCTGAAGGCAGCCGTTCCAGATCGCGATGCCTCCTCAACAAGCGGAGTCACAGTTTTCTCCATCATTTCTGTCAGCACTGTAAATGTTGGTTCCACCATGAAGTCAATGAATCCTGCCGGATACGGAAGACACGGCCACTTAACAGATTCACTTCACCTTGTTGATTCTAATTTGTGTCGACATGTTTTTACTATTTGATAGTAACTAAATAATCACTTAGTTTTCATGCTACTTCCACACGCACAGCAACTAGATACGAATGTTGGTCCAGCGTATAAACATCTGAACTTTTCTCCCAAATGAATCGATATACTGGGACAACGGTTTCCATAACAGAGGTACACTGGAGCAGACTGTTCATTAGATAGCAGATAAACAAACAAGCAGCTTTGTGGTGTAAATGATTCTTATTCTATTACCAATCTGAGACTGTGCCACCGTGGTGGGTTTGCGGTCACAGAGAGGAGAGAACGGTAGACCCAGCTCCGCTTCTTTATCCCCCTAAAAACGAGTAGACAAAGCAGCGTTACAAGGTGCTGCCATCAAGGCTCACCAACACAACACGTCACCATCTGTTTGCTCGTTTCTCATTCCTGTGTCATTTGTACATAGAATGTGGATTTGCCTTTACATGTAGTACATGTTACTTCAGTAGCACTTCCGCAGCGTTATTAGTTAGTATCTCTTCCTTTTGTACTTAAGATTGTCTCAGTGTGACCAATGATCTTATCTGGACCCACATGGCTGCTTCAGCACTTCAGACTACATGTACAATCATCCTGTTGTTGTAATGTTTCCTCGCTGAGTGGATTCGGACTGTCGACATGTTTTCAGCCACAGTTCATCTCCTCCCCTCCCTACACGCCTTCCTCCTAAGTCATTGTCTCACATGAACAACCACTGACTGCCTGCTACTGGAGGACAAGTCCACCAGAAGGTGCTGAGCGTCTTCTACTACCTCATTACTAATTCACATGTACAAAGACTAAACCTTATTCTAATGAATGTATACAATCAACTATTGTTAGCAGGCGGTGAGTTGCGAGCGGCAGCGCTGGTTTATCTTATGTTACACCCAGAGTACTCGTCTGCTTATTTTACCTCTGAAAACAAACTAGGTCCAAACTTTGTCTTCTTCTTATTCGTCACTAGTGCAGAGCCATGTGGAGTACTGCATAAATGAAAAGGCCGCTCATTGATTCAAAGTGGTCACCTGTCTAAAGAACTCCTCCAGAAGGGATGTGGTCCAGCGATGATGGAGGTCCCAGCGTTTGGCAGGGTGGCTGATGTCAGCAGTGTGCAGTAGCAGGGACGAGGCCTTTGCTTTGTCGGGCCTGCAAGTCCAGTCCAGTTAGTGGACGCGGCGCGTGAAGGGTTGTAAAGCAGAAACAATCATGGTTTGATAGTTTCAGCATTGTGAAGGACTGGAGTGACTGGCAGCATGAGGCGGGACGGACCCAGACGTGAAACACTCACGCCTCATGTTGCTGCAGGTGGCTTTTCATCCCGTTGATCTGCTGGAAGTGGCAGGACATGTCTGTGGCCAACACCATCTCCACCACCAGAGCCCGAAGCTCTCTGAAAGAGGGCAGGCAGTAAAACATTCATGCTCCCTACAGAAGGAATCTTAGATGAAGCTTGGGGAAAGTTTAATCAGAGGAGACTGAGATGCTTTCATCCTGTTGCTGTCACTTCTATATTTCTGCAGCAATGCAGTGCCAGATCGATGCATCTCTGCCCCAAACTACTCAACTTGTCCCTAAAATGAGTCATTTGATTCGGCTTGACTGTAAAATAAGGTGACGTGTTTCTCCCTGGTATCATCAGCTGTAGCTCCCTCTAAGCACCAGTAGGAGGCAGTATTTTAGAAGCAATGACTTGCACTGTAATCTGGGGGTTGTATTGTACAGTGAATTATTATTTGAAGTCATTGAATGGAAACAGCGGTAAAAAAGGACGTCCCTTCAGCTGCAGCGCTCTTCTCTTACCTCCACTCGTCTTTGGAGAGATTAGACAGAATGTTCATGTCATCACTGTGCTGTAGAAGGCGATATGCAGCACTGACGTGGTAGTTCTCCAGAACAGCTCGGTCATTGTACAACATGGCGGTGTCTGACCTGCAAATGCGACACAGCTACTTCAGGAAGGATCTCCCTCACCGTCATCGTGATAATGCCAACAATGTATGAGGTAAAGCTGCTATCATTCATAGTAGGCTTTTTATTAGGTCACCTGTTAGATCTCTCTTCATGCTCCAGTGTTGTCCACTGTCCTCAGAGACTGCAGGGATTGAAATGCTACAAACGATGCTACGTGGGAATTACCTTGTCTGAATATGGAAGTTATTGGTGGTCCCTGTGTGCTCGTAGTCATGAATGGCAGCTGCAAAAATGATGGCAAAGGTCTCCAACTCACTGAGCCAGTGCTGAAGGAGAGAGGCAGACAGACGAGGAGGAACGTGTCAATCGGGAGATGAAGATTAAAAAACCGTCCTGCTTAACATTGTGCGGTTCTCCTGCTGGAAGTGAACCAGCACAGAGTCTCTTTGCCAGTTGTCAGTGTGCCTGAACCACCTTGGTTGTTTTCCAGTAGCACCTCAACTCAAATGAAAGCAAATAGAGCTCTTCACCAAGAGGATCTGGTGCAAAGTGCCTCACTGAGTGCTGGAGGTCACTGTGCGAGGAGGCCAACAGGACAACATCACATCAGCACCAGCAGAGAGGAGATGGAGACCCCCGGCCCGAGGTCCTCCACCCCCGGGTGCGCCTAGATATCCTGTCCATGAAAGTCACCAATTGGAGAGTCAAAAGCCTTCTCCGTCCACAAAGCACATGTAGACTAACGGCGAGTCCCATCCAGCCCCGGCCTTGCCCCCATGCAGCTTTCTGACCCCCGTAGTGACCCACAGGCACGTGGAGGTACGTTTTAATAACACAATGTCTGCATTGTACATGTGGTGCTGCTATAGTCCCTAGACAGCCGTCATGAGGGATTGTTGATGCATTATTTCAACGCAAATTAGGTTGGGTGGTGCTTGTGCTTGTTGGGATATGAGGACACAAACAGGGACCTTCAACAGAAGACAAGAAACAACCAGTTGCTTTGCAGAATTGTAGAAGCAATACAGAGAAGTTGTTCTGTTGAACCCAGTACGTTCCCATCAATACTTAGTTCTGCTGTCGCTGACATTGTGCTCATTACATACACAGCGTCTTGTCAAAATGGACATACCTTGAAACGGTTGATCAAGTCATATCTGGTGAATAGCTCATAGAAGACAAATTTCAGAGCGTGGTCCCCACTAGCATCGTTCAGTGCAAACACATCAAAAGACCACATGTCCACATGCTAGAAAAGACACACAGAAGCTTTATTAGCACGTGAATGTCCACATAACGGTTCAACTGTTCATTTCTAGGATTCCTTTGTTAAGGTACCATCGATAAGAAAACATAAAAACACCAGTTACAATTTAGTCTGGAGGATTTTGTACTGATATAGAATTCAACAACTGGGAACTCGTTATTGAATTTTAGCTTCTTTTGTTATCCTGCACCTGCAAAATCTATGGATTTGTGTGTTGAGATCAGTTTATATGTTACTGCTGAAGAAATATAGCAATATTCCACACGAATGGAACCACATTCAGCTGGTTTCTGTCGTATTTATCAGATCGATCCCAGTTCATGTTTGCTTATTACTGGTCAGATAGCGATGCTTCCTTAGTGTGTTAGAGGAAGCCTAAAATGATGATGCTTTAAGTTCCTTTTGAGCATCGGTTTTGGACGGTTCAATGTTTAACGTTTGACTGATTGTAAACTCACAAGACTTCTAACCATCCACCACCACTTCCACTGACTCCAGTGGAATATCGCCCACTGGGGCTTTTAATATAATCTGAATATCTATGTTTGAGCATTATGTCCTTGACTCCGTGTCCTTACAGCATCTCACAACTTGTCCCTTTTTTGCTGAACTGGATACTGTTTTCTTATTATTTTTGTGGACATGCTTTAAAAGGTGGACGGCTGAGTTCAAGGGAAGAGTTCTCTGTATAAGACAAAAAACTTAGAGAGGAACTTAAGATAATGGCTTTGGTGATGGAGAGTTTTTGGGCTGAGGCTGCAGCTATGACCCAGCACGTCCAACCCCCCCTCTACCGTTCCTGGTCCCACATCAAGTCCCTTCACGCTACCAGCAACAGGGAATCAACTAAGCATGTGGATTTTTTTTAATCTTCTATTTGTGACTAAATAATTCATATCGTATCAATAAGGAACCTGACCGATAAGCAGTATGGACAGTAGTTGATAAAATCCTAACAAGTGTCCCTCGCCATAATGTCCAGAGTTAAGTCGTCCCACGTGATACCAATCGACCAATCGAGTCCTTGCATTCCAGGCAGGACGATGTGTCTCAACGGTGCATTTGTGTACATTGTTGGGATGCGGAGAACATGGGGAAAGCCGCTGCACGCCGCGCTGTTCCTGAAGTTTATTTGGCGCTTGAGAAGCTTCTGGATGGTTCATTACATTCCCTGCCGATGTCCCAGTAAATGCAATCAAAGAGGGCTTTTATGGAACTGCAGGTAATTGAGTCATTCAGTGTTTCATCACTTATTGAAAAGGCGTTCCTATCACTATTCATTACGGAGCTTATCATCTTTATAGAATATGATTAAGGTGGACTCATGATAAGAATAGAGGGAATACACACATACATGCTGATTCACACACACATATTCAAACTCCTGGTTCTATATGGTGCGTTCATGATCCCCTCCTGCTCGTCAGCGGAGAAAAAAGAGCCTCTTCCTTTGAGTTGATTTGATCGACTCTTCCCCCTTTTGAAGTAGGACGCGGACACACAATTATCCTGATGACTGACGTCTGGTTCCAGTTAATGACATTTAGCTGGATCAGCTAGCATGGTTTCAGTCAGCGGGTTAGTTTGAGCTGGCTAAGAGGACTTTGATTGGCTTAGTTGCACCACGTACAAGTAACACGTATCCCTGCTGGCTTTGACCATCAACAGCAAACAATCACCCAGTGGAGTCCACCATGTTTGTACCCTATTCAGCTACGAGGATAATGCAGAGTTTTATTATTATTACCAATGAACCCTTTATGTTATCTGTGTTTTATCATTCATGTTAAATGGGAAAACCTTGAAACAAACATCACACATCATGACTAAACAACTATGAAGGGCCTAATATTCCATATGACTGTTGCATCAAATACACCAAACAAGCCAAACCTCTCCACAAAGATGCCGGCCTGCACTGCATGAACGATGCTGCGGAAGCGTGGCTTGTCCTCGTTACGGCGCAGCATCACAGCCGTCTGCCGGGTGAAAGTGGAAGCCAGCCAGTCCCGAACCTCTGACGGCACCGAGTCCGACCGGATGTCACCCAGCTGGTCCTCTGGATCCACCAGCCGCCTGCAAGGAGACACGCATCAGACTAAAAGCCAGAAAAAAGATCACACCTTCTTGCCAAAGCTGCTGATTGATGATCTTCATCAACAAATTGAAGGATTGTCTTATTCACTACTCGATGAGCACACAATTCAATTATTGTGTAGAACGCGGCTTGTCAGATTTTCCCAACCGATTGTGTCACACGTTGACCACGTGGCTGATGTGACGCGTATTTACCAGCGTTCAGACACATTCACATTTAACTGAAACGTCCTGCCGTCATTTTGTTACAACTTCCACAAGACGAGAGTTGACTACTGGTTTACCTTCAGGTCGGCCATCTTTTGTGTAACTAACTAGTCTTCTGTATTCATGTGCAGGGTCCCACTGTCCTATAAGGAATAAGGCTCGCAACATTGTGCAGCAATAATTTAAACAACTCTGGGTTAGAAACTTGGAAACCGTATTGAGCCACGAGTTACTCATTAAATTAAATATATTACTAAAACATACACATAGACTTAATGGAATCATTGTATTACTAATTAGTAGTAAAATAATATGAATGAATGATGATGTATGTAGTAATTGTCATGTATTTATCATCCATGGACAATCTTCCTTGCTAATATATAATATTTAATTGCCTTTCACCAATTTACGGGGTATTGCAGTTAATATAGTCTTAAGATATTTAGAGTGCTTTACTTTAGCTTCAAAATGCTTAAGACGACGTAGCTTGTGTGTAAATGATCCCGTTGTGGTTTATAAATGAGTGAGGAAGCCACCGTGCTACTGGAATGGCCCAGTACCGGGTGCCATTAAACGCTGGGGGAGCCGCGCTCTGTTGATGAGCCGACTGCTGACGGGAAGAAACCCTTTGTGTCCATAAAGTCCTGCGTGCATGAGGATGATGTGTTAACCTGAACCTCACCTGCTTTCTGCTTTTACACTTCAATGTTTCCCCTTGGATTCTTTGGGATTGTTGTACCTTTTGTGGACTCCTCTGCTCCACAGGTTTGTTTTTTAAGACAAACGTTTGCGTTTGGCCATTTCTCTACGTGCTCCTCCACCTCTGCTCAAAGGTCTATTTAGCTGCCGATCGTGAAAGAATTCAAGAAAATCATTTTAAAATCCCTTTTTCTTCATGTTCATGGATTATTTGAGAAAAGCAGAAGTGAAATCTCTCGCCTGGCTTCCTCAATGCACAGAGCTTCTAGGACTGAGGCGGCGTAGTCCAGGTTTCTCTTCAGCTCCACCACAGATGCTTCCCCCCTTTCCAGCTGCTTCACAACAGAGCGCGACCTGCAACACATAGAGGCCCAGCAGCATCGGCCCTCCATTCAGACCGTCCCAAACGCTGGACTGGGGAGCTGTACAATCTACAGATAGAATATATCTCCCACAGATGGTCTGGGAGTGATTAGCACAATCTGGGCTGTATAATACGTGCGCCCATATTACATGGCAGTGCAGTTGGTAATGTCAAAGTCAAATCAGCAGTTTCACAGTTAATGTCACTGCAAAGAAAGCTGCAGCGCTCTTTTCTAACTGGGTTCTGTCTCACTCAGTGGACGTGGATTGTGGGTTGAAGTCCCGTCTCAAAGCACCTTCTAAACAATTGGCTAGAACGCCATGAAAGGAAGCGTAAAGCCTGTTCTATGTGTGGCGAGTAAAACTTAAAGTAAAGGACACCATCTGTTTAGCAAAGGCAGCAAGCAAAGCTCCTCTTCCACGTTTCCCTTCATCACAGCTTCATTTGGCATGTGAATGATACATTTACATGAAGCAAAGGCCGCTGTGTGTGTGTGTGTGTGTGTGTGTGTGTGTGTGTGTGTGTGTGTGTGACCTGCTGGCAGTCTTCTCCATGGTGTCCGGGGCACCAAGGACCGGCAGCTCATCCTTCAGGATCTCTTCATTCTGAACTCCTTTGTATTCAGTGATGCCAACAGCCGCTGGGACGGCAGTGCGCAGTGCATTCTGGGACCGTGAGCCTGAACGATGGACACAAAAGCGCCTGCTAGCATTTCCACGTGTGCAGCGTCCATGTTTTAATCCATCAGGGACCGAAGTGATTGACGCAGTCGGCCGTAAGACGGAGAGACGAGGACGTGTTTGAATGGACACGGAGGAGTGAACACAGTTGAAGGAAAAAGATGTGTCAACTACAAAGGAGGCTCAGACCCACTGCTGGAAAACACACGTCAGAGGAGCAAATCCTGATGCTGCACAAAGAAAGTGGGGATAGTTAAAGAATGAAGTCTGAACAGAATCAGTAGAGTTTTCTGGCCGACTTGTTGCCTCCAGTTGTGCGACTGTTTGGACTGACAGCCGGCTCAGTGTCCCCTTCTGCAGGGGACGTATTCATGGCGGGTCACATGTACATGTGCGCCTCACGTGTGGACAGAAGCCCCCGTCACATGGTATTTACCTGCATTACAGAGGTCACTGTTTGAAACACAAGTTGGATGAACTCACGTGCCAAGTGGGCCGGTGGAAACCGGGAGCTCATTAAATTAAATTAGCTCATTAAATTAGCTTCATGTTTGCCGTCCCCAGAGGATCCAGTTTGGACACAAATGCCCTGAATCATCTACAATACTGAAGGGCTGCGTGTCCATGAGTACTTTGGAAATGTGAAAAAAGACGTTCATGCCCCAACAAAATGGTCCATGTTGAATTTTGTGGCTCCTCCATCTATGTTTTTTCAAATAAAGAAACAAAAACATAATTCAAGTAAGCAGATGGCTCCATCAGCTAAAAACAAATGAAACGTACAACCATATTTTTTAGAGCAATGCAAATAAAGTTATACCTCTCCATAAAATAACTCACTCTGAAAGGTCATTTGCATATTCCAGAAGGCCTCACTGACTCTCCACGTTCCACCTTCCGTGTTCTAACTTCCATGTCCATGTTCCGTTCTCCACAGCTTAAGAACACTCGCGGGTCAGGTAGTTAGCAGCCTTGGAACTGCACACAGGTTTTTTGCAGTGGCCGAACATTGAGAAAAGGCCACAATGACTCTGTGGCCCTAAAAGGACTCGAGGTAAGTGGGGAATCCAGACAGACGTCTGCATTAACTGGTGTTGGTGCTTTACTGGACTTGTCAGGTGGAGAAGTGGGTACCTGGAGATAAACCTCTGATTCACGCTGTTGGGACCTTTTTCTTACGGTGTCTTTTGTGTCTGAGCCGTGAAAGGATGAAATAAGACCATTTAACGCAGCTGGTGGCTTTAGTTCACTACAAATGTTCCCTTCTGTTGTTCCTCATGTGTAGATGACGATGAAAGCTCTTGGGACAAAACGTCCTCATCCAAAGGGCGCATCCCAAAGAAGAGGGTCCGACGCCGTCAGAGACTTGACACCGGCGTCAGAGCGCCATTGCTCGCCCGATACGAAAGGCCCGAAAGCTCCGGGCAGCGTGTCAGCGTGACTCGAGCAATGAGGAAAGACCAAGAGGAAAGGAAGCACAATCAGAGGAGGCGAGAAGAGGATTAGCGTTTTGTTTACGCTAATTGTAGCCTCGGCTATTTTGGTGTTCTCCTAGTCCGGTAGTAGTTAAGCGCTATTTGGTGACTCTCTGGTGGGTCTTGTGCTTTCTGTACTTCAGGTAAAAGTTTGTATATATATATATATATATATTGTTTGTATATATTAGTATGTATATGATGCACAAAGGTGCAGAAAGACATAGATAAGTGTGTGTTCCACACTTGTTAATGTACACAGAATTGAAATACACAAACAAGGACACAAGTCAAACCTGAAAACAATAGTTTTATTCATATAGGAATCCATGTGTTTATTAGATGATTTATTGGTTCAACTTTTCATAATCAGAGATTGGGCCAAAATATACTGGTGGGCTGTTCGATACATTTGCACTACAAGTTTTCAACAGCAGACGTCATCATAGAGTTTGAGATGCATTGAATGAATGAACCTTTTTACGATACGATTGCTGGAAAGCTTCACTGCTT